TATAACATAAGGGATTTTAATCTTCTATGTAATAGGAAGAACATTAAGGGGAAAAAGTAAATAAATAAAGTTAAAGAAAAGTAAAAAAAAGTTTAAAAAATTAAATATATAAAAGATTTAAAAAATGAAAAAGTAAAAAAGACAAAGTAAAAAAATAAAACCCTGCTGCCCCCGCCATCTGCATGCAAATAAACGCATGCGTAGGACATTCTGCATGTGCTTTGAGATTGCAGCCGCCATTCCATGGTGGTAGCCAGAATTCTCTTACACACACATAATGTGCATTAAAGGGTAAGTTCATTTTCCCAGATAATATGGAAAAATAAAAAATTACCCGATGAAATCTGGCCCTGTCTCTCCCAAACCGCCACCCCCCTGGCTATACTTACCTTTCGGCGAACAATCCCTCCCCTCTGCCAGTATGGGTGTACTATCTGTCCCCCGTACTGCTGTCCAGCGCAGTCCTCCCCTATGCATTTTGAATTTCGCTCGCAAATTGCAAGCACTCATTGGTCAACGTGGTCAGATGACTGCGCTGACCAGTGAGAAGCGCTATTTAGCACAGTAAAATATGTTTTGATTAGGGGTTCACCGATACTAGTATCAGTGCCGATACCGAGTATTTGGGCGAGTACTCGTACTCACCCAAATGCCCCGATACCTACCTCGATATTGGAACTTACGGCCAAATGAAAATTTCCTCTGACTGGCAGTGCCGTAGGGGAACATGGAGCCAGCTTCCCGTGCAATCAGGAAGCCGTGCGGCAAGTAATGACCCGCCTCCTGGTTTTCTGAATGGCCCAGGAAGCCGGCTCCTTGCTGATTGGCTGGAAAGCCGGCTTCCTAGCCAATCAGCATCGAGCCAGTTTCCCGACCAAGCAGGTTTCCCGACCAATCGCAATCAAGCAGGCCAAATAACATGGAGCCGGATTCCGTGGCAATCAGGAACCTGGGCGGGATGTCATTACCCGCTGCAGGGCTTCCCGATTACCAGGGAAGCCTGCTCCATGCCAGGGAAGGACCGGTATTAGTATTCAGTATCGGCGAGATCCAAAAGCAAAAAAATCGCTACTCGTACTCAATACCGAAAATCCGGTATTGGTGCATCCTTAGTTTTGATTAAAACTATTTTTTGTATTGGGACAAGTAGATTGTCATGAAGGACAAGTAGATTTGGCCCCCGCTTTAGCCCTTGGACAAGTAGTTTTTAAAAAAATTCCACACCCCTGTAGTGCATTTTTTACTAAAGTTTTGGGTTTGGTAAAGAGTTGCGCCAATATTGCGCAACATAAAAATTTGCAAATTGCCACCATTTTATTCTGTAGGGTCTTGGCTTTCAGAAAATAAATAATACTTTGGGGGTTTGAAGTAATTTTCAGGCCTAAAATGTGGATTATATCATGTGTAAAAAAAAAAAAAAAAAAAAAGGCCTTGGCAGCGAAAGGGTTAATAGTTAAGGCACTTGAACACATTTTTAAGATTTAACTCCTGAATTTAAGTAAAATCTTTTTTTTTGTATTGTTTTGGAGATCCGGTAACGTCACGGACATCACCGGACTCCTCCCCCCTTCCCAAAGTGGCTCCGTCGGCTAGCGAAGGGGGGAGGAGTCCGGTGACATCACAAGCGCCAGCCAAGGCATTGGCCTATACACATACAGCACAGCAATGAAGTAATAAAATGAACTAGGATCACACTAATCCAGCACGTTATTATTCTGAGTTGTCCCACTCAAGCGGCGGCCATATTGAGTGGGGCACGTGAGATTAATAACGTGCTGGATTAGTGTGATCCTAGTTCATTTTATTACTTCATTGCTGTGCTGTATGTGTATAGGCCAATGTAGTTGGATCTGTATGTGCGTCATAATTAATCAAAATTAATTGATTAAAAAAAATTTAGATTAAATCGAACACAAACATTTTAATCATTAACAGCCCTATTTTGGATAGAAATTATTAGAACTAGGGATGCACTGATACCATTTTTTCAGAAATGATTACGAGCACTGATATTTTTGCTCAAGTAATCGCTAATACCAATTACTGATACCTTTTTTAAGTGTCATGTGACAGTTTTTCTAAAACAATAAAAATGAGTGATTTTAGGACAGTGGTGGAGCGCCAGGGCCCGGTCTCAGCTGCATCTGCTGCGACCCTGGTAGTTCTGCCACTGACTCCAGGCTGTAGAGAGACTACAGATCTCAGCAATACATTATAAAGCAATGCAGAATACCACCAGCTATAGGACTACAAATCACAGCAATACATTATACAACGATGCAGAATAATACCACCAACTATAAGAGGACTACAATTCCCAGCAATAAATTATATAGCAATGCAGAATATGAAGCTACATACTCTGTTGCCCACCAGGGCTGTGCAGCATCTAAGGAGGCTGTGCAGTTTTTACCAGGGCTGTAACGGGATCTTAGGAGGCTGTGCGGGGTCTCACCAGGGTTGCACGGGTGCGTGCAGATCTCACCATGACTGCTTGCGGGCAGTGGAAAAGGAGGAGGAAGAGATTTGCGGCCGGACCGGTGCTGTAATATACAGCTGCCGCAGGTCCCCAGCAAGCAAGGAACCTCATGGCAGCCGCTCCTGTTTAAAAATGTAAGCTCGGGTATCAGCTTAGTTTCGTGGCATTTCCATGAGGAGTACTCTTGAAAATGCCCAGCATTGGCACGGATACCGATAGTGGTATCGGTACTCCAACTGATCGGAAGCCGATTAATCGATTATTGAAAAATGTTGACAACTTTTTCAATAATCGATTATAATCGATTATGTCGATTAGTTGTTGCAGCCCTAAAAGGTACAGAAAGCATAGTGAAAATATTTTCGTAGTCACCAGACAGACAATAAGCTGAGGGTAAATCTTCCAATATGGTCAACTAGCTGTTCAAGTGACAAGTGTCTAAGAGGGAAATTTCTTAGAGATTTCCTCTAACTTCATGTTGCAGCTCTAGGACAGCAAGTTAAAGAAATTCTCTTAAAAGGGACACAGACATACAAATAAACTGACAAGTGTTTAAACCTTCCATTACCAAAATAAAAGCTGATTTTCCAAATCTACAAGCTTGTTCCCGGTTGGTTGCACTCCATTCAATCCAGTGGGTCAGTATAACAGTCAAGTAAATGAGTATTCTCAAAACAGAGGTCATCAATGTCATCAATCTTTTTCCCATTACAGGTTTATTTGCCGAGGAAATACATCAGGCTAGAAATATATGAACTGCCATTATTAACACAATTGGAAGTCGCAGGCTCTAGGACGGTCATCTTCATGATTGCCCCACTATAATGTCAGTCTCTGACTGAGAATAAGCATACAGCGAGTGAATTTGGAATAAACAGCATTTACACGTTTCAAGGCAGTAAGTGAGTAGTGAAGCATGGATCGACATCCAAAACCAAAGACAAGTCAGCAATAATAGTTCTATCCTCACAGGGTTCCCATTTAATTAACATAACACTGCAATAAGACAAACTGCCAGAAAAGTCACTAACTTTAGCATGTAGTCTAAAGTGAAGAAAAAAAAATTATGCACAGCCAAATGATTACACTCACTGAAAGAGAATCCACTTTGCACGGACACTTAGTAATAAAAAAAAGGGACAATGGTTTCAAACCGTTGCTAGTTTACTTTAAAGGGTTATTTCAATTTCACAAGCGAATCTGGGAAAATGGAATTAGCCCCACCAATCTGCCCCCTCTCACCCCCGGTTGCTCCTACCCGTCAACGTACACTTCTTCCCCTTCCGAGGCTACCAGTGTAGGACGCATAGACAGAAGCGCAGCCCTGCAGTCAGTATTTTAAACTACACTTGCAAATGGCAAGCACTTATTGGTCAGGTGACTGCATTGACCAATGAGAAGCGCTTCTCACTGTGCTGACCAATGGGAAGGTCTTCTTAGCAAGTAGCGCTGCTCATTAGTCAGCATGTCCAGGTGGGGAGGCGGCAGACTGGTGGGGGTGATTCCAATTTCTCAAATTTGCCTGGGAAAGTAGAATTGCCTTTCAAAAATGCTTTCTTTCTTCCTATGTAACCTTTAAATTGATTATGCTGACAGATCTAAAACAAGTTCTAACCTTTCCCCATGTACAGAAAACTAAGGTCAAATGCAGGTCACAAGGAGGTCAACTGCAGGTAAAATAAGCCAGTGAATTAATTCTGAATGATCTCCAAAAGCATATCAAACTAATGTCACATTGATGCTACCAACACAGGCCCTAAGTCCTGTGCTAGCCCCCACAGCTTTCCTTTGCCCAGGAAGCAAAGTTACATACCTGAGTAACAGCGAATGTACGACTCACTTCCCTTCTCATCACATGACAGTCATAGGTTGGCTGCTTTGACACTAAGGGCACAGAGAGCCCCATGACACGTCAGCTTTAGGCTCCATTCACAATTATAGTTTAGGTGTGTTCAGGGATTCCTGCATCAGGAACATGCGATTTAATTTGGCAGGAATCCAAAATCTGCCTTTTACAAGGGGCAGCTGTCACCCATTCAAGTTAAAGATCGGGTGACAGCAGGCACATTTGCAAGCAGCAGAACGCTGGCACACCGCATGTAATACGATTACATGCGGTTAGGAATCAATCGCTAGTGATTGATTCCTAACCGCATGTAACTATCACATAGGATAACATGCGGTGTGCCAGCGCTCTGCCACTTTCAAATAATGCCACGGTCACTCGATTAGAACGGGTGGCGACAGATTTGAGATCCTGCTGCAGGAATCTCTGAACGCACCTAAACTATAGGTGTGAATGGAGCCTTAAGCTATGATTTGCAGTTTACAAAGGTCTACTTTCTCTTCCTACCACAAGCAATTGGAGAGAAAGGAAGCAAAAGAAACTTGGGGGTGGGAGAATGTGCATTAAAGTGAACTTGTTGCTTTTCTCTGCACAGACAAAACGCAGGTTCATTTTTAAATGTATAAACAGTTTAGGAAAGAAAGTAAACCTAAACAATAAAGTAAAGAAAAATACCTGGGCACTGGACTCCGGCTCATTGAGCGCTTGGACACAAAAGGACTACTCGACCGTCTACGCCCATAAGGGCTTGGAGATCTCCCACTGTAAGAGCCACTCCCTCTCTCATAACTTGAGGATCTCCTTCTGTAGGGACTTAGTGAGCGCTGTCTCCGGTTGTACGGGCTGGGGGATCGAGCATTACTCTGGTACGCAGAAGGCTCTTTGTAGCTAGGACTTTCAAGATTTTTCTTGTAAGCCTCAATGTAGTTGGAAGAGACATGTGAACGTTGCGGACTTCCATCATAGTCCAGGCCATCTGAGGCATCAGAATGGCTATCATCTTGTCTTGGACTGCTGCCATACTTCCTCCTTGGACTACGTCCTTTTCTCTTAGGGCTATCTGATGTTTTATAACGTTTGAAGGAGTCCCTTTTACGGTGGCTCTTGCTGCGGTCCTTGTGACCGGACTTAAGTTCCTTCTCCCGCCTAGATTTTTCCTTATGCACTTTAGCTGTCCGAACCTCCTTGTTGCTACTCCTGGAACTGCGGTTTTGATCCTCTTGCTCCTCAGCAACCTTTTTGGTCGCGCCAGACGTCCTGTCTTTGGAGCTTTGTAATTTGCTCACAGTCACTTCCTGACCTTTTTCTGGCTTGCGCTCTTTTTCCACCTGCTTGCCTTTAGACGCTTCCTTGATCCGTTTATGCAGATGTCGATGCTTCGACCTATGTGCCTTATCACTTTTCTCAGACCCCCTACGCTCATCGTTTTCTCGTTTCTCCTGTTTAGTCGGAACGTCATCCGAGAACGTATCGGAGTCTGAGCTAATGTCGTCATACTCCACAAGCTTCAGTGTGCTAGGTGCCAACAGTTCAGACGTAACAGCCAAGTCTCTGAGATGCTTGGCCTTGTGCCGCTTGTGCTTCGAACTGGGCCTCTGCCGATCTTTATTATTGCTACTGCCACTGCTCTGCGGCATGTTAGACGTAGCTCCTCCGCCGTCCTTTTTGTTCCCATGCCGCACTGGGTTTGGCATTCCTTTGCGGAGAACAAAAAAGGGAAGGGGGAGGGGAGGGGTATTCCCCACAAAAAAAAAATCTGGAGATTTCTCTTATAAAAAAAATTTACAACGTAGAAAAACAAGCAAAAAAAAAAAAAAAAAAAAACACCCTTCTCACCCTGGTTTTCCTGACATCCACAATAACGTCCGACTCTTGACTGATAGAGGTAGTATGGAGCCACCCCGGGGATAAAGGTGAACTAAACTAGCCTCCCTCCATATAAATCTCCCTAATAACGGTAGAAAGTTTCCTGTGTGGCACTTCCACAAACGGTTTTAATTTAGAATCTCAGAACTGTAAAACTTTGAAGGGATGTAAATGGTCTTTGCAGAGTCTGCGGGGACTTGAATAACGGACGCCGCGTCACACACAATGTCAAAGTGTACACTTATATCCTTCTCTTCATATCAGTTCCTCAACCGACTTCTTAGGGGTTCAAATGTTCGTTAACATGAAGGTTCCACAGAGGTGAAACTTAGATGGCGGTATATCAGTCTGGTATTGTGAAGATCTAATGTCCAGTGTTTGTGTAAGCTCCTCGGGTATAGACTTGTGATGAAGATGTCTGTCTGGTAAAGAAGGGGGGCTGTGTGGAAGCAGCTCTTCATCCACAGAGAGGAATAGGTGTCTCCATACAATGAGTAGGCGCTGAGTCTCCCACAAGCTGGACATGAAGCAGCCTCCAGCTGAATGGAAGGCTCACGTAGAGGAATGGCCTCTCCACCACATAGCACATTGGCCAATGTCCTCCGGCCGATGATGTCCCCTCCTCGCGAACTTCGGCTCTCCCCTGACACACAGTATGACTCGAGGCCTCTCCTGTCCTGCCTGTCAGCACGGGGCGGCCTCTCCTCCCTCACTGGTAAGCCGCTGCTCCTTCCTCGCCGCAGCTTCCGCAAGCCGACCACTGCAGCCAGCTATTCCAGAAGCATGTCCCCCGTCACCGGGAACTAACTTCAGCGGGAAATAATCCGGTTCCCCCGCGAGAGGCGGCCGCCTTGCGTTACCACAGGCAGCAGGATACTGGTCCAAATCTCGCGAGCGCTGCTCTTCCCACAGGTAGCTGCCTTCTGCTTCAAAATCTCGCGAACCTTGGCTGCTTCCCGGAAATATCGCGAGGCTTGACACCACGACCTGCTAATAGACTAGCGGATCACTAGCGTGAAGTCGTTTCTCGCGTGACCTGATGGCCTTCCGTGCCGGCTCTCGCGAGATTTCCATTTTTTTTAAAATTTGTCAGCAAGCTTTATTGAAACGTCGGAGGTGTTCAAGGAGAGCTTTCTACTGTATGTTGCACGTGAAAGCTGCTGATGGGTTTTTAATAACGTTTTGTGAAGAATAAGTTCATATAATACACATGAATCAAATTGTATGAACCTGTTTTATTAACATGGTCTTTAGGGACTTAAATGCATTTGTCACATTAAGACACAAATCATATTTAAAAATAACCTTTTATGTGAAAGTGCAACCGAAGGCAAAACTTTTTGGTTTGGATATAGTGGAGAGGGATAAAAACATCCGTCAGTTTGAGGGCCGGTTCACACCACCAAAGTCTGTGTTCCAGAGCATTCTGCCACTGGATACAAGTTGGCCAGCTCCCGGCAGTGCGATCGCCCGAATCTGGAGCGCAGGCACATTAGTTCCAGCCCAGTGTGATCTGCAAAAATAGTGCTTGCAGCACTTTTGCAGACCGCACTGGACCGAAACGCAGGCACCAATGAGCCTGCGTTGCAGGTGATTGCACTGCGGGCGTGGCTGCGGTGCCATTTACTTCAATGCACCTCCCGCCCCGAAACGCAGGGAGCCGACCGGCTTTCGTTTCAGAGGCAGAACGCTCTGGAACGCAGACTTTGTGGTGTGAACCGGCCCTTATTGATGTCTTTGTCCCTGATAGGAAATGTGTCCTCTGTTGTCCTGGTGACTGTTATCACTGAAAGAAAATCCCAAATCTTAAATTCTCACCAGAACATGACTAGATTAAAAATCTTGCAATGGGGACACTAGTTCTCGTGACCACCAAGAACTTCCTCTCACTGTGGTGGATACCGGACAGGAAGTGGAGGAAATCTCCCCAATGGAACACAGATGGCAAAAAAAAACAGAGGGGGTCACAATGCTCCATAACTATCCAAAACTAGAAAAAAAGTTTTGCCTTCAGATCTACTTTAAACTGCCAAGTGCATGTTCACAGCACACAACACAGCTCTGTCATCAGAAAATATATTTGACCATGGTAATGTATGATAAAAAAAAAAGCAGTAGCAGACCTAAAGGGTCAACGGTTTAGTGGAAATATTGAACTGTATGCATAGCTTTTTCCAAAAAGCTTTATCCACAGCTTTTTCTTTTTGGGTAGAGCAGGTAAGAGTTAAATCCCCTGAGGGCTTGTTCACACCAAATGCAGACCTGATCTGCATGAGTTTCTGCACATGCAGTGCAGTGTGTTTTGCTGCTTTTTTGATGCGTTCCGGGCCGTTTAAAAAAAAGTATATATATATGCAGTATGCAGTAAAAAATAGGGCATGCTGCAGTTTTTCCACATGCTCTGGAACTGAATGCTCTGGTGGGAACTATAGCCCAAAATACTAGGGATGTCCCGATACCAGTATAGTATCGGTATCGGGACCGATACAGGGCATTTTGACAAGTACTTGTCAAAATGCCCCGATACAAAGCGCCGAAGCTTGCGCTATGGTTTTGGTTTTTTTTCTTACCTCGCCGAGCGTCGCGTCACTGCTGCTCCAGTGGGCGGCGCTCCAGGTAGGGTCCTAATTTAGGTGGCCGGCGACTGCCCAGAGGACCCCACTCGGAGCGCCGCCCACCAGAGCAGCAGCTCCGAGTGCCAACAATCATCCCAAGTTCAAAGGCTGTTAAATCGCGTTGTTTACCCATATCTTCAGAAGAAAATCACTTCTACTGTCGTGGTAAACAACCTGCTTCCCTATTTATAATGGTCTGGCCCTCTAGCAACTTCAGCGCGAAATTATAGCTAATTTGCCTACAAAAGTCAGGTGGTCATAATCATCTGGCCACTCAGTGTATATTATATATATGTGCTGCCTACCCAGGTCCACCCCTAACTCTACGATTAAGCCCAGGATTGGGTGAAAAGAATTTGAGGGGCATATCTGAGCTGGGACTTTGTGTAACTATGTGATTTTAACAAAAGAAGTTTCCAACGACACATGGAGTGCAGCCGGATGTTTTATAGTCAAAAGGAAGGCTCAGCCTGTAAAAGAAGATGCTGTAGTCTTACCTTTTCGGTCCTCCATGTTTTTAAATTCCTCAAATTTTCTGATCTCAGGTAACTGCAGGAATCTTACACTTCCAGGTGGGTTGAATACCTGTTCTCCGCCATGCTCTGTGATTACTCCTACCAGCTTGTGTGTCCTGTACCCTGGGGATGTGAACCACCAAGAGTGCTAATACAAGTTGTCATCAGAGGATGTGCTCTAGCACTTGTCCTGCAGCATGGATAATTGTGCCGCCTCTATGGTTTGTGTTTGCCACCGTGTGGAAGTGGTAATGTTCGACTGTATGCTTTCTGGGTAGTCTCTGAGATGTGATGTCCCATAAAGAAATAGTGGATTGCTTGAATCATTAGGATGTTAATGAACAATTTGTACTCCTCCTGCATCCATCAGCCTTGCATTGACAAAGAACTGAGGACTGCTCAGTGGCTCACATCTGTTGTGAGAATCTTTCGCCAAAGAATATATGTAAAAAATAAGTCAAGGCAACTGGACTTGCTGTATTTTTCTTGAAGACATTTCACTGGTCATCCAACCAGCTTTCACAATTCAGAATTACTTTGTACAAGTCATTCTGAATTGAGAAAGTTGGTTGGATGACCAGTGAAATGTCTTCAAGAAAAATACAGCAAGTCCAGTTGCCTTGACTTATTTTTTACAGATATACTATGACCTGGATGAATGAGAGCCTTCAGAGACATTTCTCCAAAGAAGTTAGCGACCTGGGCTTATGTATGTATGTGGGAATACCCAAAAGGCAGCACTGTGCTTGTGTCCAGCCTTTTTTAGGCGGAGGTCCACAGTATCCCAAATAATGCTGGGAGAAAAAAAAATTTCAAACATTATATTAGGATCCATTTATAATCTTCCTAATGTGTTTGCATGCATTACATTTTAAAACACTAGCAAAGTGTGCGCTTTCCTTAAATAGCTGATTTGGAATTGTTAAGTGTAAAATTGTAAAGTGTGAAAAATTGTAAAATGTAAAATTGTGAGTGTCAATAGGTATGGGGTTTTAAGTGTGAATAGGTATGCAGTTTAGGTAGTGTTTTATAATACTTCAGAGTAAACAGTGTTTCTAGTAAGGCTTCAGTAACATGTTGAGTTACAGTATAATCTGCAAACTTTATAACTTGGGTGCAGAAGTTATAGTTAGACAGCAATGCCAGGACATACTTTCTGCCATATTCTCTCCAGGCACACCCATCCTGAGGCATCCTGCCACTCACCTCACACATGGGATGCTTGAGTCTCCAAGACCTTATTAAAGCCCAAGCTGTGGCTAGTTGCTTTTGGGGATAAACTGCAGAGCTGCAACAGGGAAATCTGTAATGCAGTAAGCTGAGGCCCATTTCAAAGAGAACCATGCCACCGAGTGCTGAAATGGAACTGATGAGTAACAGATCAGGCACTGGGCAATCCTTCCTAAACACAGTGCTCTGGCTCTGGAAGCTACACATCAGCCTGCAGCAGAACCAGACAGTGAGCGTGGTAATACTTATTTCAACCATATGAGACATGGTACTCTTGAATTGTTTACACAAACCCCCTAAAAAGGCAGAAATACCACAATACAAATAAAAACATATCAAATAACTTTTTTAGGACCCATAAATAAGCATCATTACAGCCAATGCTAAACTTTATTAAATCCTTTATCCATTTATTAAGCACTGCTGTGTGCTTTACAAATATGCTTTCCACTATGTTTGCCTCGAAACTCTGAAGTGTAGTGCTCACCCCCAAAGCATTTCGTGTGCACCTTACTGTATAACTGGTAACAAATTGTTGAGTGCGTTT